AATCACCTCCAATCTTCCATATGCACCTAAGGGATGTTCATGTGTGAATTGCTTCTGAAACCTCCTTTGGGAAGGTTTGAGCTTCCGCAACATCCCTGTCCCAAGTGGAACGGGTACATTTCCCAGTGTTATCCAGTATTACTGATTGGGTAGTGCCATAGCAGCAGTAGCTGGTCCTCTTGTGGTAAGCCCTGGCCTACGCCAAAAAGTAGGGGGGCGCAGGTGGCTTTCACGGGACACTGGAAGGGGCAGTACCTGTGGCCCTTTGTTAGGGATCCCAATTCTGAAAGGGAACGTCTCATTACGTATGGTAACCCTTGTTCCCTGAAGGAGGGAACGGAGATGTCACGTCCCGACGCTACCGCTCCAGTACCACTGCTGAGTGGCCGGGTCACCGGCTTGGGTCCTCAGCGAAAACCTGAATATGCGCTGCATCTGCTGCCTACTTATACTCACGCTGTGATCAGCGGCAGCTGGATGCAATAATCGCATGCCAATGTGCATTGGCTCGTTTAGTTTACACTCAATGTAGATTGGTCTCGCTAAGCGAGATCCCAATTCGTCGGTCATCCGATATGACTTCTCCATTCCCTCCTTCAGGGAACGAGGGTTACCATACGTAACCGAGACGTTACTGTAATAAAACCATGGTTATTTTTAGTAAAAGGCTGCCAGGCTGTTGTACCCCTAATGGCGAAACTTTAGCATATATTTTTTTTCTGACAGATTTATCAACAGCAATTACAGAACACAACGCAATCCATTTGAACTTTTAACAACCAGTTTAAATAAATTTACTTGGACAAACTAGCCAATTTAAAATAAATATTACATGTACACAAAAGTTTGGGGTCAGCAAGATTTAAAGACTTAAAGCTGCACTTATTTGAAAAAGAAAAACAAAATAAAAATATTGCAATAAGCAATATTGAGAAATATAACAATTAAAAATAACTATTTTTTATTTTAATATATTTTAAAATGTAATTTAAAATGTATCTGTGATCAAAGCTGAATTTTCAGCATCATTACTCCAGTCTTCAGTGCCACATGATCCTTCAGAAATCATTCTAATATAATTTGCTGCTCAAGAAACATTTATTATTATTGCTGCTTCATATTTGTGTGGAAACCATGATGCATTTTTCAGGATTAATTTTAGATATAGTAACAATGTTATGTAATGTAATAATGTGGCAATGGTTTCTTAAGATCTACTTACGCTTCTGATGCTTTTGGGAAACACAGCCCTATTTGAACAAGCACTGTGAGCCATGCGTCAGCAGAGAACGCTGTCTGTGATGGATTGATTCTGTCTTTCAGCATTTGCGTGTGTTCTGGTGAGCAGGAGAAATGGTTCTATCCAACACAATTATTCACTAATATAGTCTATTTTTCCACTTAGAAGCTTATTTTATGCACTGAATTTCTTCACAAGTAAATCAAATTAACCTCCTGTCTCCTTGGGTCTAGGCTCTCCGATGTTGGTAAGTCATTCACAAGTAGGAGGGGGTTTCGGTGCAGTGTTCTGATCTTGCGCTCACCCTTTTCAGGGTGCACTTGGTATACAAAGTTTTCACCTAACTGCTACTTCACCACATAAATGGTGGGCTTCCAATAAGAGTGCAGCTTCCCTGGGCCACCTCTCTGACTCAAATTCCTCAGCAAGACACGGTCTCCAGGTCTTAGAATGATAGAGCTGGCTTATTGATCGTAGTATTCTTTATTACGCAGACTCCTCTGCTTGCTAATCTGTGCTGCAATCCTATAGGCTTCAGCCATCTGATCTGCTCAGTGTACAGCATACTCACGTGGGGTGTTGAACCCTGCACCAGCCCAAACAATACAGGTGCATCTCAATAAATTAGAATGTCGTGAAAGTTCATTTATTTCAGTAATTCAACTCAAATTGTGAAACTCGTGTGTTAAATAAATTCAATGCACACAGACTGAAGTAGTTTAAGTATTTGGTTATTTTAATTGTGATGATTTTGGCTCACATTTAACAAAAACCCACCAATTCACTATCTCAACAAATTAGAATATGGTTACATGCCAATCAGCTAATCAACTCAAAACACCTTCAAAATGGTCTCTCAGTTTGGTTCACTAGGCTACACAATCATGGGGAAACTGTGACTAGACTTGACTCAGGAAGATCAGCGGTGACTAGACTAGACTCATAATAATGAACTGTGACTTGACCTGACTCACAAAGAACAGCTGTGACTTGACTTGCCTCATGAAGATCAGCTGAGACTTGACTTAACTCATGAAGATCAGCTGTGACTTGACTGGACCCATGACAATCAACTGTGACTTGACTTGACTCATGACGAGCAGTTGTGACTTGACTAGACTCATGAATATCAGTTGTGACTTGACCAGACTCATGATAATGAACTGTGACTCGATTTGACTCATGACGATCAACTGTGACTAGACTTGACTCAGGAAGATCAGCTGTGACTAGACTTGACTCATGATCATGAATTGTAAACCTGACTTGACTCATGACAATCAACTGTGACTTGACTAGACTCATAACTATCAGCTGCGACTTGATTTGCTCCATGACGATCAACTGTGACTAGACTTGACTCATGACGATCAGTGGTGACTTGACTAGACTCATAACTATCAGCTGCGACTTGATTTGCTCCATGACGATCAACTGTGACTAGACTTGACTCATGACGATCAGTGGTGACTTGACTAGACTCATAACTATCAGCTGCGACTTGATTTGCTCCATGACGATCAACTGTGACTAGACTTGACTCATGACGATCAGTGGTGACTTGACTAGACTCATAACTATCAGCTGCGACTTGATTTGCTCCATGACGATCAACTGTGACTAGACTTGACTCATGACGATCAGTGGTGACTTGACTAGACTCATGAATATCAGCTGCGACTTGACCAGACCCATGATAATGAACTGTTACTCGATTTGACTCAGAAAGATCAACTGTGACTAGACTTGACTCATGACGATCAGTGGTGACTTGACTAGACTCATGAATATCAGCTGTGACTTGACCAGACTCATGATAACAAACTGTGACTCGATCTGACTCATGACGATCAACTGTGACTAGACTCGACTCAGGGGAATCAACTGTGATTTGACTCGACTCATGATGATCAACTTTGACTAGACCTGACTCATGAAGATCTGTTGTGACTTGACTAGACTCATGATAATGAACTGTAACCTGACTTGACTCATGATGATCAACTGTGACTTGACTCGACTCATGAAGATCAACGGTGACTTGACTTGACTCGTGAAGATCAACAGTAACTTGACTGGGCGCTGCCGTTTCTGCCATTTCGTGAGCATGCTCTAGCGCGGCTGCCATTACACGAGTGAGTGCGGAGTCGCGTTCCTCTGCGATACCCACAGTGAATGCTGAACCAACAGACAACAGAGCATAATCCATAAAATCACTTAGAGAAGAACGGGGACCCTCACGGATTAATCGTGTCTTTAACGGTTCATTGATACCCTCACAAAAAAAGTCTATGAGCACACAGTCAGGCAGATCAGAAAAATATGCGAGATCTAAATACTCTTGCACGTAATCCTCGAGCGCTCGCAAGCCCTGCTCGAGGGTTAATAACAGTCTTGCAGTGTCCATACCTGGCCAATGTCCACATGAAAAGCTGCTGGATCCTTGTGTGGCCGAGTATTCTGTAACAGGGCTGACGAGACGTGAGACGTGCGGATCCATATGCAAAGCTTTATTGAGCAGAGAGATCAGAAACACAGGCAGTGGCAAACAGGTATATGGCGGGCAAGACACAAGCATAATCCTAGGGCTAGCGAAGGTCAACGAACGGCGAACAGAATCAAAGAGGGCGAGACTAAAGGGATAAATCCAGAAAACCAGGCAAGGATCAGAAACCGAGAAAACAGACAAGGCTAAGGCTAAGGCTAAGGCTGGAAAACTAATGAGGGCTCTGTAGCGTAGCTATCTAGAGATATGCGCTAAACAATCCTCGGCAGAGGGAAGGGATCAGAGTGAGTGTTAAATAGTGAGGGAGTGATATGAAACAGCTGGGTGCAATCAGTGTTGTGCAATTAGTGAACCAGCTGTGTGCAATCAGTGCTGTGAATGATGGGATATGTAGTCTGGAAAGATATGCAACAGTGTGAGTGCGAGAGTCAATGAAAATGGGAAGGGTGACTTCTGATGGTTAGCCAACGGAAGTTCATGGACCGGATTCGTGACAGTCGTATGGTAAAATGTATATTTTTAAATGTGTAACGTTACGTTCAAAATAACTACAAAATGTCATGCCTTTGAAAAATAAAGAGAACAACAGAATGCGCTGCTTTAGCGCGTCTCGGTCTCCTTGAGCATCTTTCTGGCACATGCCACAAACATGAACCACAGCAAATACTCGTCTTTTAAAAGGCTTAATTTAGATTATATGACGTTATATGCATCATATAAATCACTTTGGAATAAATCACAGTAGGCCTATGTATCATGATAAAAAAAAGCGACTTTACAGTCTGGAAATACTTTAGGTTATAGCAAATTATTTCTTGGACTCCCTATCACTTTAAGTACCGCTGGTCTACACAGAAGAAAGCACTGTCTAGACTCTGCCCCGGTACGAGTTGTGTCGAGCTATTCATTAGTCTGTTTGATGAGAAAAATATGAAATTGATAAAATGTGTTACGAATCCATACAACTGCAGCAGTGGAGGACTATTATTCTGCTGCATGATACTGCGGAAGAACTGAAGAAGGCACGGTTTGATCTTCGGCTGACAAATCAGCAGAAAGGGACATTTAATTCCCGCCCACATGTAGAAATCAAATATTCAAGCTGTTTATTCCTTTTTCCACCCATGAACGAAAAACGAAAATTTAAGCTGAATTATCGTTTTTTTGGAAAAAAACAAAAAAATGAAAAAAGAGCCATTTTCTCATTTTTCTACTTTCAATATTAAATCAAAAAACCAATGATCGAACGATACACGGATTAAAAATCAGGTTTGGCCTCAAATGCAGTCCTGTACTTCTAATTCAGTGCAGCAATGTTAAGTGGTAAACCAGTTCAATGTGTTTTCAGACGTCACTGTTGTCCACATCCAGTACAGTCTGCTTTACAAAGGATCATGGGCTGCAGTGGAAACTGTCTGACTGTTGGGATTCCCATTCGTCAGCCCACCACCTGTATCAGAGTTAGACTGTTTTAAAGCCTTGGTTTTGAATCTCAATCCATGGCCTGTAACCCAACAATGAACAGAGCAAACAGTTAGTCTTATAGAAGTGGTAGGACATTACAAGTTACATTCAGATACATGCTGGTAAGGAGATTACATCATCAGAACAATAGTGTTTTAATTTTAACATTCTTAGAAGTAAATTCAGCTTCCTATTAGGCTCAATATTTACACAATGATAAAATATTTTAGCAAATAGGATTCTAATGCCCCATTCCTTACAGTATTAAGTCACTAAACATTTCCAAACTAACTCCTCAGCTATGGAACATGTTGCCACCCTATATAAGAACTGCACCAACATACACTGATTTTAAGTCTCTTCTTAAAACGTATTTATTTACTGTTGCATATGGTCATAAGTAAGCGCAGTGGCATAACTGTAGTGTACTATCTGTCGTTGTGTTCTATGTTTACTTTTGTATTTTGGTATATGCTTAAATTTTGTACAGCACTTTGGCCAACAGCTGTTTTTAAATGTGCTCTATAAATAAAATTGACTGACTGACTAACTTGTTCACTTGTGAAGCTATTTGTGAGTGTTACTGATCAAGTCACTGTGCGCTTCATACACAGTGAAACAGCTGCTTGATATACTAACCCAGACAATCAGCCACTTCCTTGAAAGCCTTCCTCTTGCAGCAGCCACGGCACAAGTTGAACACACATTTATTACCCTGTTGATTTTTAAAAAGCACACGAAATGGTTCTGTAAACACTTCAAACATGAGTACATTATAGCACTAAAATCATCAGATGAAAGAAAAGAATCAAAAATCTTACTTTAGGGTTTCCACATTGCTCACACTTGATGTATTTAGCTGCAGAACACAAGGATGCAAAGGCAATGTTATTGACCTTAATCAATATATGTTAGCCAATATCTTTATGATAATATATTACCATTTAAAAGTGACAGTAAAGACGTTTATAGTTATTCCTTTTTCCACCCATGAACGAAAAACGAAAATTTAAGCTGAATTATCGTTTTTTTGGAAAAAAACAAAAAAATGAAAAAAGAGCCATTTTCTCATTTTTCTACTTTCAATATTAAATCAAAAAACGAATGATCTAATGATACACGGATTTTTACAGAATATGTAAATTTATTTTCTCTTCATTTGCTTAGAAGCATTAATACAGCATTATTGTTCATGCTAAACAAATTTTTCTGTGCAAAGAGGCTGTATCAATTTCTTGTTGGGCAATACAATTCTAACTCATTAAGAATTGTCTTTCTGAATTGCAAATAACATTTCATTTCATATCTTAGAATCATATTTCATATGGGGAGGCTTTACTATTAACATTGCATAAACAAGCAATCTCTGACTGAGAAAGAAGCTTTACAGAATTTTTACATTTCTTTTCTCTTAATTTGCTTAGAAGCATTAACACAGCATTACTGTTCATAGAAGCGCTAAACTATTCTTTCTGTGCATAGAGGCTCTAACATTTCTTGTTGTGCAATAAAGTTCTAACCCATTAAGAATTGTCTTTCTGCATTGCAAATAAGAAATAATTTCAGGTGTAAGAGACCTTTTTGTAATGGTCAATCTTTACTTTTAACATTGTATAAACAAACAATCTCTGACTGAAAAATAAGTTTTACAGAATATGTATGAGCATTCTCTTCATTTGCATAGAAGCATTAACACAGCATTACTGTTCAAAGAAGTGCTAAACAAATCTTTCTGTGCATGGAGGCTATAATATTTCTTGTTGTGCATAAAACTTCTAACACATTAAGAATTGACTTTCTGCATTGCAAACAAGATTTCAATTCATATTTAAGAAACATCTTTTGAAATTGTCAAGCTTTACCATTAACATTGCAAAAACAAGCAATTTCTGACTGAGAAAGAAGCTTTACAGAATAAGATCTTTTGCATTCTCTTTATTTGCTCAGAAGCATTAATACAGTATTATTGTTCATAGAAGAGCTAAACTAATCTTTCTGTGCATAGAGGCTCTAACATTACTTGATGGGCATAAAACCTCTAACACATTAAGAATGGTCTTTCTGTATTGCAAATAGGATTTCATTTCATATCTAAGAAACCTCTTTCATATGGGCAGGATTTAACTATTATCTTTGCTTACACAAATAATGTCTGACTGAGAAAGAAGCTTTACATAATAGGTACATTTATTTTCTCTTCATTTGCTTAGAAGCATTAATACAGCATTACTGTCATAGAAGCGCTAAATTATTCTTTCTGTGCATAGAGGCTGTAACATTTCTTGTTGGGCAATACAATTCTAACTCATTAAGAATTGTCTTTCTGTATTGCAAATAAGAAATCATTTCAGGTGTAAGAGACCTTTTTGTAATGGTCAAGCTTTACGTTTAACATTGTATAAACAAGCAATGTCTGACTGAAAAATAAGTTTTACACAATATGTACATTTCTTTTCTCTTCATTTGCTCAGAAGCATTAATACAGCATTATTGTTCATGGAAGAGGTAAACTAATCTTTCTGTGCATAGAGGCTCTAACATTTTTTGTTGTGCATAAAAACATTAAGAATTGTCTTTCTGCATTGCAAAATAAGATTTAATTGCAGATGTAAGAAACATCTTTCCTATGGGCAGGCTTTACTTTCATCATTGCATAAACAAACTATCTCTGACTGAGAAAGAAGCTTTTATGTACATTTGCATTATCTTCATTTCATTAGAAGCATTAACACAGCATTTTCTGTTCAAAGAAGCGCTAATTTAATCATTCTCTGCATAGAAGCTCTAACATTACTTGTTGTGCATAAAACTTCTACCACATTAAAGATTGTCTTTCTGCATTGCAAATAAGATGTCTTTTCAGGTGTAAGAAACATTTTTATTAAGGGGCAAGCTTTACTCTTAACATTGCTTAAACAGCCATCTCTGACTGAGAAAGAAGATTTACAGCACATTTGTGCTTGTATTCCCTTCATTTGCTTAGAGGCATTAACACAGCATTTTGTGCTCAAGGAAGCGCTAACATTATTTGTTGTGCATAAAACTTCTAACACATTAAGAATAGTCTTTCTGCTTTGCAAATCAGATTTCATTGCAGATGAAAGAAACATCTTTCATACGGGCAGGCTTTACTTTCATCATTGCATAAACAAACTATCTCTGACTGAGAAAGAAGCTCTTCAGAATATGTTGGCTTGCATTCTCTTTATCTGCTTAGAAGCATGTCACTGTTCTTAGTAGCGCTAAACTAATCATTCTTTGCAGAGAAACTCTAACATTACTTGTGCATAAAACCTCTAAAACATCAAGAATGGTCTTTCTGCATTGCAAATAAGCTTACATTTCAGATGTAAGAGACCTTTTTGTTATGGTGAAGCTTTACTTTTAAAATTGCCTTAAACTGTTTTTGACTGAGAAAGAAGCTTTACAGAACATGTACATTTGCATTCTCTTCAGTTGCTTAGAAGCATTAACAGAGCATTACTGTTCATAGAAGCACTAAACGAATCATTCTGTGCATACAGGCTCTCACATTTCTTTGTTGTGCATAAAATTTCTAACAGGTTAAGCATTGTCTTTCATTTGGGCAGTCTTTACTTTTAACATTGTTTAAGCAAACTATCGCTGACTTAGAAAGAAGCTTTTATCTGGGATTGCATTCTTCTTCATTTACTTAGATGCACTAAGACAGCATTCATGTTCATAGAATCTATTAACAAATGATTCTGTGCATGGAAGCTCTAACATCAATTGTTGTGCATAAAACTTCTAACACATTAAGAATTGTCTTTCTACATTGCAAATAAGATTTCATTTCATATGTAAGAAATATCTTACATATGGGCAAGCTTTACTCTTAGCATTGCATAAGCAAACTAACTCTGACAGAAGAAAGGCTTTCCAGCAAATGTACGCTTGCATTCTCTTTTTCTGCTTAGAGGAATTTAACACAGCAAGACTGCTCATAGAATCTCTTAAATAATGATACTGTGCATGGAAGCTCTAACATTTCTTGTTGAGCATAAAACTTCTACCACATTAAGAATGGTCTTTCTGCATTGCAAATAAGAGACATTTTTATTAAGGGGCAAGCTTTACTCTTAACATTGCATAAACGACCATCTCTGACTGAGAAATAAGCATTACAGCACATTTGTGCTTGCATTCTCTTCATTTGCTTAGAACCATTACCACAGCATTTTCTGTTCAAAGAAGCACTAATATAATCATTCACTGCCGAGAACCTCTAACATTACTTGTTGTGCATAAAAACATTAAGAATTGTCTTTCTGCATTGCAAATAAGATTTCAACGCAGATGTAAGAAACATCTTTCATATGGGCAGGCTTTACTTTCATCATTGCATAAACAAACTATCTATGACTGAGAAAGAAGCTTTACAGAATATGTACATTTGCATTCTCTTCATTTCCTTAGAAGCATTAACACAGCATTACTGTTCATAGAAGCGCTAATATAATCATTCTCTGCATAGAAGCTCTAACATTATTTGTTGTGCATAAAACTTCTAACACATTAAGAATTGTCTTTTTGCTTTGCAGATCAGATTTCATTGCAGATGGAAGAAACATCTTTCATATGGGCAGGCTTTACTTTCATCATTGCATAAACGAACTATCTCTGACAGAAGAAAAGCTTTCCAGCAAATGTGCTTTATCTGTTTAGAGGAATTAACAGCAATACTGCTCATAGAATCTCTTAACTAATGATACTGTGCATAGAAGCTCTAACATTTCTTGTTGTGCATAAAACTTCTAACACATTAAGAATTTGTCTTTCTGCATTGCAAATAAGATTTCTTTTCAGGTGTGAGACATTTTTCTTAAGACATAACCGACAATCTTTTCGAGGATACTCACAAAAACAGGTATTGTGACAATTTTGTATGTATTTGTTGTTTCAAGAGCAAGAAGAGACTAAACTCAATTCGGTGTTCAAGGACTGTGAGCTCCGGCTCTCTGCGTGCGCGCTGTGTGCACAGAACAGCTGAATTCAGGCTGCTGAATTAAGCTTTTCATGTCTTTTTGTATGTTTAAACTGGCGAGGTGTATTTGTTCGTTCAGGCACAAGAGGAAGCGAAGAAGAGCTCGGTTCGGTGTTTGCGCGGCTCTCCGTGTGCGCACCAAACTCGGCGCACGAACACTCAGTTTAGTTCTTACACATCTTGTGTTTGAATGCTTTAAACTGTTTTGAATGTTGAAATTGACAATACTTAAAACACGTGCAATTGACAAGCTTTCATGACAACGCGCAGGCCGTCTTTTTATGCTGGTCTCGAGCATTTGCAGGGGAAATGCCCCCCTCAGCCTTGGGCCTCTATAATCGTCACCACCTTTCACCCCACTAGCGACAGCCCTGATGTGTGCCATTAATCGAACTATGTACTATAATGAAAGAAATAAAAGGAATGGAATGGCATGAAACATGAAAGGAATATTCTAAAAGCAACTCATGGAAACACCATAATCATAATCAGGGCCGCTGCTGGCCAAATGGGTGCCCTAAGCAGGATTGTATTGTTGTGCCCCCTCCCTAAAATATTATGGAAGTTAAAAAAAATAAATAAATAGAACTTTAATAATATATAAGTAAATAAATTAATTGTATTATTTACAAATTACAATTGTAGCTCAGACAGTTACCTAGGGCTATGACTTTATTAATTGATAATTAGTCTCAAATTAGTAATCAAATGAGTCTGATTGATTTTATAGTCTCAAGCATTCAGAAATCACGCAAAATAATTAAGCAGTTTTACTAAGATAAAACCATGGTTAATTTTTGTAAGGGTTGTGATGTCCATATGTTTTTTGTTGAAGAAATTATAGAGGCTGTGTCATGTATGGTAA